TCACCCCTCCCTTTTATTTAAAGTAATATGAGTTGCCTTCTGCTACTTTATAACTAACATCCTAATGACGGTAGAAGTTGAACCCTCAGTCTCCCCACAGCCTACATATGCTCATAAACAAATTTATACAAATACTTAACTCTGAAAATAGTAATATAATAACAATGAATACTATACAGTTCTTATATAGTTACCATTTAATTTCAGCAACAGCCTCCCTGAGGCACAGGGAGTTTTAGTAACCTGTCCAAGCTCACACAGTATGTGACAACACTGAGATTTGAACTCATTCTAATTTTGCTCTTGTATACCAGGAAACATTGCCTTTCTGCATCATATCCAGAGGATAAAACATATTTCTTTCTCTACAGATTTTTATTTTCATGTAAGTCTTTTTGCAAAGCTTTCATATATTATACCATATGACTACTAGTTTCTTAGTGTCTCTCATAAGCATTTACAATTAAAAAGATACCAATATTTTGGGGTGCCTGGGTGGCTCAGTTGGTTGAGTGTCTGACTCTTAATTTCAGCTCAGGTCACGATCTTAGGGTCGTGTTAGCCATGTTGGGCTCTGAGCTGGGTGGGAAGTCTTGAGATTCTCTGTCTCCCTTTCGCTCTGCCCCTTTGCCCACTTGCATGCGCACTCTCTCTCTATATAAATAAAATGTTAAAAAAAAGTATCTACTACAAATAAAAACTATGACCATAAAGCAGCTTTACTGTTTTCAATTGTAAACACTTTTCCCAGACTTTATATATTTCACTGTCCTTCTGGCATATCAGACTACTTTCTTAATTCCAGCATGGCATCTGTATCTGAAAAGGAGATATGTATTGCTAACTGGACCACAGAATAAAAATGTTTCAAGAACTGTTGCTGATATCATATATTCACAGAAACAACAAAGATGGTATAGCTCTTCTGGAGTATCTGACGTCTATAGGCAGTCATCATGCACACAGGTAGCAGGTGGCCCAGATTGCTTACTGCTACAACACACATCAAAGCCAAACGCACTTGAACTCTTCCATCTAAGTTAGGGCTCATTTAAAACCAACTAGCCACTTACACCCTTGGAGACAAATGACTGTCTTTCAGGGGAACTGTGGAGGGCAGTATTGCTGTGTATTTTATACATATTTAGAAACTTTCCACACAGCCAAACAACCCAGGCCAGAACAAAGATAGGGCTGTTAGCTTAAGACGCTAATCAATTTTTTAATGATACCTGGTTTATTACTCTTATTTTAAAGTCACTCAAAAATTTCACATTAGAAGATCTGCCCACCCACCCCCCAAAATCCTCTTCATTTATTCACAACTTCATTTTTATCAACTCCCCTGCCTTAATGATTGTATTTTTTTAAAAAGATTTTATTTTATTTATTTGAGAGAGAGAGAGAGAGAGACAGAGCATAAGCGGGGATGGAGGGGCAGAGGGAGAGGGAGAAGCAGGCTTCCCGCGGAGCAGGGAGCCCGACGCGGGGCTCGATCCCAGGACCCTGGGATCATGACCCGAGCTGAAGGCAGACGCTTAACCGACTGAGCCACCCAGGTGCCCCTTAATGATTTTAAAAAATTAAAAATTATTCTGTTTCAGACTCTAAACATAAATAATTGTTGTTTATTTGGGGGCCATTCTAATGTCACGTTGTAGGTTTTTTTGTTTGTTTTGTGCTTAGTACTTTTTTTTTTTCTCAACAGAAGTTCAAGTAATATCCCCCAAGATTATCTTTCAAACAAGATTTTTAAAAAAGCTATACAAGATATTTTATACTATGGAAATATTTTAATATTGTCACATTTTAAAACATAACTGAAACCCAAACTGATGCTAAGAGAAAAGAAAAGCAAAAAAATGAAAGAGTTTATATTAAAAAAGAGATTTGCTTCTGTTGCTCTAGGCATGTCTTTAAAAGTGGGAAAAAAAAGTGTTCTTTTTATAATGCTGTTCATAATGATTTTAACTGAAAGAAAGAAGCAGTTATTCTCAAGATGCATTGGTACTGACTGGCAATGGGGCCGAAGCCATGGTTTGGTCACACACAAATAAGGACTCTGATGTCCTGTATTGAAACCAATCAAACAACCTTAGTGCCAATCCTATCCAAACATGTTGCTAAGAGACACACAGAGACATAAAATACAGCCCCCGCCCCCATCTATTTGAATGGTTAGGGTACGAGATAAATGTAAAACAAAAACAATAAAATTATACAAAAGAAAAACGGTCCAATACAAGAAATACAGCAAGAATATAATGTACCCTCTGTGATTCAGTGGTTCAAGGATTAGTTATTGTGAGGTTTACTAGAAGAAGAGGTGGCCCAAAGGATGGGCAAGTTTATAGAGAAATAAAAAAGGAGGTGTGTAACTCCTTATGGAGAATCAGCCGTGCACTAAAGCGGGAAGACAGCACATCACAATTTCAGGATATGAGTCCTTAAATGACCATTCTTGACCAAATAGCAGATTTCAATCTAGTGTCTTCATTCCTGGAAATCAGGTCATAACATCATCAGTGAGGGGATTTTTGACTCCTTAGCTTACCCTCTCTTTCCTACCTGAGGAAAAAAAAAACAGTGGGATCATCACCTACCTTTGCCACTTCTCACTGCCTCCCCCTTCCCCACCCTGAGGAAATCTGTCAATGCAGGAGAACAAAATAAAACAAATAAAAAAAAAAACTACTAATTTTGATTAAGTTAAATCAAAAGTGCTCTTAACATGAAATTACAGGTCATTTGCTGACATGCCTGCTTTCTTAGTCTCCCGGACTGGTAGTCTCCAAGGAAAGGGACTGGGATATGGCATCTACCGCCCAACACCAAGCCAAGGGGCCAGGCGGGCATTAGCATAACCCGCAGAACTTGAAAGCAGATTGATTCCAGCCTCCAAACCATTAGTCCAATTGATGGGGACTCTCCCTTCAATGGGCTCCTCTAATACTTTCTTTTGCACGTGGAATATTTTTCTATGTCACACACCTACTTCAGTACTCTGCAGCCGATCAGATTATAAATATCTTGAGTTTATGTCATTAAATGTTTCATCGATTTTTTTACATCTTCCACACCGTGCAGTAAATAAGCAGGTACATGATAAATACTGTTGAATTTATAGGATTCTCCTCTTTTCACCTCTCCCAGGCACCAACTTATCCATGTATCTAGCAATGAGAGCCCCTTCGAAAATAAAAGTGCCTTGTTTTAACCTCACATCTATATTTAACACTGTTAAGAATTAATAATGGAGAGTAGTGAGAATAGATTAAGGACCAGGAGGCTTTTGAAAACGGAAGGCATATTTAGACTTGTCTGGCTGTGTAATGGAGCCTTGCATATGGTATTCTGTACCACCTGGCTAATTCCCTCTAATGACTGAAATACCTATTAAGAATTGTCTGAAATAAGAGCTTAATGAAGGGCATTTACAGGGATACATTTATTTTTAGGACTCAAGAACCATTTAAAAAAAAAAAAAAAAGCAGCACTATATAATGGAAAATAACCCTGAACCAGTATGAAAGACGATTCAACACAGTCAGGTCCCTTTTGTTACAAAATTGTTCTGGAATCCTATCTGTCATAGCTACAGGCAAGTGGCAGGTTTGCCTCTAACTGCATATAGAGGGTTTACTAGAATCTTGGTCAATCTGCTTCTAGCCTCAGACAATCTCTCTCTCTCTCCTTGAAGTGTGCAGTAGCACTTAATAACTGCGAAAGGTATATTCTCATTAAAATTTCACACGGGGTACTAATCTTTCACTCTCATTTAGGAAATTCTATTCAGTCATTCAATGATTTGGGCCTTATATCTTTCTCACACATACAGAGCAAAGATGTGACAGAGATTAAAAACAGAATTCTAAAAATTCATAGATTCAGGAACCATGGGATTTGAAGTCAAGCAAATAACCATTCCAGAAAACACAAGCCAGGCTCTCTGCCTCTCTGGGGTTGAAGCTTAATGCCAAACATGTTTGAATTGTGGTGTTACCAGTAAGGTACTCTGGGGTCTTACAAAATGAAAAGCATTTTTCAACTGGAAAATGGCTTCTATTTTTTTTTCTATGAATATTTGGAAAAGGCTGAAAACATATATGGTAATCAAAACAAACACAAAAGCACCACTGGAAAAAGGCACATTTACGAATGTATGGTTTCCTTAAAAGAGGTGCTTAAAAAACAAACAAACAAACAAACAAACAAACAAGATACTGAGGATGATGGTGAAAATTAGTCACTGAGCGATGATTCAATAACTCTTAGGGTCAGCCATCACTAATCTTGGGCTTTAAGAGCTAGCAAAAACTCCAACATTTAAATAATCAAGAAGTTTTCAGATTCTCTCACTTTAACTGAGATCCAGGGGCCTTGATGATGTATAGAGGCTTTATAGAAGCCACAATTATTCAAGACTTTAGTCTCTCAGTCTCATGTAAACCATGAGGTTGGCAACATTTTATTTTTTTTATTTTATTATTTTTATAATTTTTAAAAGATTTTTATTTATTTATTGAGAGATTGAGAATGATAGAGAAAGTACATGGGAGGGAGGAGGGTCAGAGGGAGAAGCAGACTCCCTGCTGAGCAGGGAGCCCGATGCGGGACTCGATCCTGGGAGTCCAGGATCATGACCTGAGCCGAACGCAGTCGCTTAAGCAAGTGAGCCACCCAGATGCCTGAGGTTGACAACATTTTAAATAATTCAGGTGCCCCAAATAAAATTTCAAATATACTTGGCCACAAAATATCTACATGCTAACAAGTTTAAACAATATGCTAGAGGTCACAGAAATGATTGTTTTCCATAAACTGTACGCAAAATGGCACGGAGATAAAAAAAAAGTTCGGATGTTGTCTTTGCCCCATAAGAAATGTATAAATTAGCTAGTGCTATAAAAAATAACTTGAAAACAATAATAGAAAATATATAAACACTAGATAACAGTACATGCTTTACAGTCATACAAACAGGAAACTGAACCTTGTCACACAACTCAGTTTCCACATCTATAAATTGGACCTAATCAAAGAACCTCCCCAACTGGTATTATTGTAAAATTTACCTAACAATTGCCTAGTGTAGAGTAGACATCACGGTACTCCAATATATATTTGTATCTTGCCTACATAGATTTATGTGTACACACACATATTTTCATTCTCTTCTTTTCTCCTACACTTAGAGTAACTTGGTAATTCTGTTATTTTTTCAATTCAGAAATTCAGGTTGCCTGTTCCACTTGTGAGAAAAATCAATCTCAAGCTTAGCTGGACAGACAGGCGGGGTTAATCAGTATTCCTTTTCTTTATTTTCTTCCTCCTTATACTCTCCTGGGCCCTCCCCCATTTTGTCCCAGTTTCCATGTTGCCCAACAAGAGGGAGACACCATCACTGTCTCAGCTCAAGGACTGCCTCTCTCTCCTAGGAGAAAGCAGACTTTTGGGTCAGCTGCCAGCATCCGCCTCAAAAGTCGAGGACAACTGCCCACTCTATGCCCTGGTGATCACGTCCTGCCAACTGGTGGCAGATGGCGTCTTCCTTGTCTTCCATGACCAGTCTGTTCCACTCCACCCGCCTTTTCCACTCCCTCCCCCACTTTGGCAAACAGAACATAGACTTTTAAACGTGGTCATTTTTTCCATCATCCCCTTCAATGGAAAAGTGTTTTTAAAGCGCAGATTTTTTTATTTGGTTTTGGTCTTTGAATTACATAATCACACCACGTGGAGTTGTCTCTGCCGCCATTGTAACATTCAACTACCACATAAAACATGAAGGAAAAGCACCAGGGCCTGAAAAAGTAGTTATCTCCTTGGGACACTTCTTTCTTATCCTACATTCATGAAATAGTGCTGTAATTTTGTAAAACTAGGCTCCAAAATGTAACCAGACATGAAACGAATTGTTTCCCTCTCAACTTTTAGTCAGTTTCAGTAATATTGCCTTTCCTCCGATTGCAAGGGGAAAAAATAGTCCACATCTGGGTAACTGAGGCAGTTCTTTGCCACAATGCTGGCAACCACCTACCAGCTATTTGGCATTAGCCATGCTCATGCCTAATTGAACCAAATGTAATCTCTCTCTCTCTCTCTCTATATATATATATATATTTCAAAGTCATACTCAAGGAGCAAGGAGTTTGACACATTTAATGACATCACTTTCAAACTATTTGCATTCAGAGTTATTTCTGGAAATGAAAACAAAAACCTGTGAATTTTCTAAACTCTCCCCTTTCTTTATTTAATAAGATGTCATCATAGACCTTTTCTAAGAGGTCCCCATTTTTTTATAGGACACAAATATCCATCTGTCTTATGTTGAAGGGACAAAAATCTCCTATCTTCTCAGCTTGTCTTCTCAGCTTCTTCTGAAGGAATAGCAAAATAGTTATGTGAAAGGTACCCTGGTTCTTCCATTTTAGGAGATGGTGACCTTGGGCAAGTGATTCACCTCGAAGCTTAGCTTTTCTGTAAAATTAAGATAATAGCAGCAACTACCTTATAGCACATTAAATAAAGATCCAAGCATAATGAGCAGAATAAACACTTTCAAAAGTTAGTTGCTACTATTATTCTTTTGGGCATAGGGAATCTGTGTTCCTGGGATAGTATAGGGCTGGTAAGGAGCAGTTAAAAGGTAGTATTATATTTGAAAATATCTCTGAACAGAAGATAATGGTGCGTGAGGTAGGGGCCTGTTGTATAATAAACTAGACCATGGGCTAAAAAATATGCAAAGAACGAGACAGTCTTCTACTTACAAGAAGGAAATAGGGACAGAGGAGGGAAAGATGGTATTTGATTGATTGTTTGTTGAATCCCAACTATGAGCTGAGCACAGGATATAATGGTGAATAAAACAGATTTAAAAAAAAGTTAAATAAGTAATTGAATTCAGAAAATAAAGCCTTGTGTCAGATATGCACAAGATGACTAAAAAAGAATATAAGATTGGAGGTAACTACTTTTAATAAGAGGGATCCTCTGTGGAGAAGTCATTGAAATTGAGATTTAAATGACAAGATATAGCCAGAAAAAAAAAATGAGGGCAAGGGCATTAGAAGGAGGGAGTCTAACATGCACCCAAAAAGTCTTACATCTGATAAATCTGGGGGCTCTCCTGAACAGTAAGGCAAGCCAGTGTGGCTGGGACATGGTGAGCAAGGAGTGCAGGTAGGAAGGGGAATCCTGCAGGGCTGTGAGGCTGCACATGGAGTCCGCATGATGTGTTAAATGTGGTAGGAAGCTGCTGAAGGCTTCAAACAGCCAGTGCCTTGGTGAATAAAAAAACTTTTTTTTTTTTTTTTTTTTAATGATCTTTCTGGAATTTTGGAGGAAAATAGAGTCCAGAAATCCAGGCGAGAAATTATATGGCCTAGAACAAAAATGAGAACGTGTTTATGGAGAGAAGAGGACAGAGTGGAGATATATTTTGGAAGCATAATCAGCACCACTGGTTGACGGATTGGATGGTAAGGGAGAGGAAGACAGGGGATTGAAGGATCATTCCTGAAGTTATGGCAAGACCTGAGTTGTTCACTCAGTTAAATGCATATTTGCAATCTGGAGAAGGAAATACTGGAAGAGGTCTGGAGAGACTGTTTATCGGGGCCCAGCGCACTGGGGGGCAGGAGGGAAGGAGGCAGGGAAGAGCATAAGCAGTTCTCCTGGCCTGAAGCTAGAAAAGGGGCAGTGGCCACATTAAGAAAAGCGGTCAATAGAGTAAGCCAGGTGAGGCATAGTCTCTAAATGCTCCTTTTATTTTCAAGGTTTTAATAACATGAAAAGGCAATCCGTAGTGATCTCAGGCTAGAGCTCGGGCATCTTCCCTGGGGCTAAAGTAGACAGCAGGCAGCAGAAAGGAGAATTATTGAAAATTAAAGAATGAGGCTTTTTAAGAAACATGCTTGATCTTGTGCTATCTGTAACTGACTCAACCAGAAGGAGAAAGCCTCATAACTTAAAAAAATAAAAAATACAGGGGCGCCTGGGTGGCTCAGTTGTTAAGTGTCTGCCTTGGGCTCAGGTCATGATCCCAGGGTCCTGGGATCGAGCCCCGCATCGGGCTCCCTGCTCCGCGGGAAGCCTGCTTCTCCCTCTGCCACTCCCCCTGCTTGTGTTCCCTCTCTCGCTGTGTCTCTCTCTGTCTAATAGATAAATAAAATCTTGAAAAAAATAAAATAAAAAAATAAAAAATACAGTGCCAAGACAATCCAATGGGAAGAAGTACTCTTTTCAACATACGGTGCTAGAAGAATGGGATATCCCCCTGCCAAAAAAGTTGGACCTCTTCCTTACACCATACACAAAAAATTAACTCAAAATGAATCATATACCTAAATGTAAGAGTTTCAAAGAAAACATGGGAATAAAACTTCATGGCCTTGGTTTAGGCAAAGTTTTCCTAGACATGAGACAAAGTGACCAAAGGAAAAAAACAGATAAACTGGACTTTATCAAAATTAAAAACGCTTGTGCTTCAATGACACCATCAAGAAAGGAAAAAAAAAAAAACATGGAATAGGAGAAAACATTTGCAAAATATATCCAATAAGGAACTTGTGTCCAGACCTTATAAAGAACTCTTACAACTCAACAACAAAAACAAACAAGTAAGTCCATTGAGAAACAGGCAAAAGATTTGAACAGATATTTCCCCAAAGAAGATACATAAATGACCAAAAGCGCATGAAAAAACACTCAATATCATTAGCCATTGGGGAAATACAAATCAACCACAACGAGATATCATTTCATCCCCACAAGGATGACTATTATAAACAAGGTAATAGCAAGCATTGGCGAGGGCATGGAGAAGTTGAAACCCTCAAATATCGCTGGTGGGAAGGAGAAAGCACGCAGTCACTTTGGAAAACAGGTTGGCAGTCCCTCAAAATGTTAAACATACAGTTACATTATGACCCAGCAATTCCACTCCTAGCTATATCCCCAAAAGAATTGAAAATACATGTCCACACAAAATCTTGGGGCTTGGGAGAAATGGGAAGTGAGTGATAATAGCCATGAGATTTCTTTTTTGGGGCAATAAACGTGTTCTGAAGTTGATCGTAGTGATGGTTGCACAACTTTATGAATATATTAAAAACCACTGAATTGAACACGTCAAATGGATGAAGTATATGGTATGTGAATAAAGTTGTTAAAAATAAAATCAAACTTTTTATTGTAGAACAGTTAGGAAACCAGACGCTAGTAATGATATGTTTGCCCACACTGAAGTTAATATAAAATAATATACTGCCTTTTAAGCAAGCCCCCAATTTTGTCACTTTACACTAATTTGCCCACTGCCAACATATATAGATATTCAAGAAATATTATCTTACATAATGAAATTTTCCCAGCAATAGATAGTTGGCATAACAGTTTGGCACAACATCACGCTGTTGGATAAACACAATCTCCTCATTTTTCCTTCTTCCATATGGTATTTTAATTGCTTTTGGTCAGCTTCTTGAAGTAACTTCCCATCGAATTATTTACCATCAGATTTTTAATACATTTATGTACATGGCTTAACAAATTACTGAAAAAAGGACAAGATTTTTCCTGTAACTGCGCATCCTGCCTCCACACTGACACGGAAGAGCACCATGGCCACGTCTGTATGTAGGGTGGACTAGGAAAGGGGGGTTCCCTAACTTTCTGTCTCCTGGGACACAGGTAGAAACACTACCGTATTGGCCGCTCAACAGGCGCTCCAGGGTGAGGCCCCCGGCCTCTACAGTAGATGGCTAAGAGCTAAAACCAAGAAACAAACCCACGCAAATACTGCTGTGTAGAGTAAGCATCCCATCAAAATCTAGCACAAACATCCAGTATTAATTTAGCAAGAAAAAATTTGGAGGTCAAATATGGAAAAGGTTACCTATTAACACAATTATAAAAAGGAGAGAAAATGTTCATCATTAAAATATAATTATAGTTAACACATAACATGTTCCAGAGCTCTAATAAGATCTCATAAATATTTTTACCGGAGGACAGAATTTAAATTTCTCTGATCATTTTCTGATTCTTATCTTAAATTAGTTAACTTAGAAAAGTTGGATCTAGGAACTCTGTGTCACTCACTTACTGGTTTTGTGATCTTGGAAAGTTCCTTAAACTTTTGAACCTAACTTCCTCATGTAAAAAAAAATATTTAACTCATAAGAGTGGCAAGAATCAAATCAAATAATTCATATGAGGGACCTAAGACTATAGTTAGCACATAGTAGTAGTACAACAAAGTAGCTATTGTCATGATTATTAAATTGTCATTTAATTGAGTGGACTAAGATAACAGCAGTCTTGCTACTTAAACTTGAAAAATCCAAGGAAATTTAATGCTAATATAATCAAAGAGACTATGAAGGGTAGAATGACTACTCAGCTGATAATATGGGAATTTATACAAGATTGGCCACAATACCCTCTCTGGGAGCCATATTCCCCCTCTATAAAATAACAAAATGATCTGTGAGGTTCCTTACTACTTCTAAAAGATAAGGGGAAAAGATTTATTGATTTCCATTTTCCTTACAATATTCTTTATATATATATATTTGCCTTAATTTCAGACTCACACTGATTTCTTTAAACATCCACTCATGATTGGAACAGAGCAATGGAGACAATAATTGCAAATCACACAAACATGAATGAACATATCTCTTAATGGATTTAAATCTATAATCTTAGGAATAGAAAAAAGCTACTGCCACCCATCCCTTGGTTATAAAAAACACTTTAAAACAGTCTGGAGTCTACATGAATGAACAAAACTTGTAAAGCCTCAAAAAGCAAAAGATTTTATGTGATCCAGATTCCAGATCTCTCAAACATAGAAATAATGTGCTAGTTCCCATAATATAGTTCTAACCTCATTTAAAAATACAGACATCTCTCACTGAGGATTTTGGTCTTTGTAATATTTACTATGTGAGTTGGTGTCTATGTAATGTATGTGACAGGTATTGAGAAATGCCAGAAAGTTACTTCTTTATTGTTATTTTTATAAAATAGAAAATAACTTGAACGTGAAACACATTGTGGCTTCAAAGAGCCCTTTCGAAAGAAGAGTATATTATTCATATTGTAAGGAGATGTGTTTATTTTAAATCTTGTTGAGATTCTAAGAAAAAAAATACATATTCCCTCCTTTGATTTTGATTTTGCTGTTAAAGATAAAAATCTGACTTGATTAGGTGAATCTTAGGGTCCTATTTAAAAGTAACTTTCAATATGTATTTGGCCAAGGAATCCTAAAGATCCATGTTTTGCTGCAAGGGTATGACTCTAATTGTTAATTGCTTCAAAGATATATTGTGCTTGCTAGAGATTCAGCCCAACTTGGCAGACAATTTATTCACACAGGGATCACTGTCGTATGCGACAGAAGCCAAGCCATTAAGCGTGAGCCATCCTCTTTTCACTGTGGACCTTTTACTCTGACCTTTCAGTACGGTTTCTCTACATTGTTGGTTGTTGTCAAGATTCTGTGCTCTTTCATATTTTCAAATAAGTAAACTGAAGGTGAATATGAATCTGCAAATGCCATGGAAGTGAGAGATGTAAAAGCTCCAAATTCAAATACTTGAAAAAGAGACCTCCAATTATTTGGAGGAGCAAGGAGATGGTAATATTGCTCTTTGAAGGTGATTGTGTTTTCAGCCACCTTTCACATGCGGAGCCATTGTGCCGGGCTCCTTCTGTGTAATTACATCAGTAACCAATAGAGGGAGCAGACACCCCACCCGCCGCCTGCAGTCCCTATGCATGACTAGGCCATCACCAGCTGTTCCATCCTAGCATCATTTATGCCCTTGAGGCTTTGTGTTCCTGACAACGAAGGAAGAGGCACCGCTGGTTGCCAGCAAGTGCAGGAGGAGACACTCATTTCAAAGGAAGCAGCGATCAAACCCACTGGGGTTCACAGGTTAACAGCAATGGGCTGAGCAGAATGGATGAATTTAATGATAAGGTGCCAGTTCATATTGACTGAGGAGAGGGGTCATTTATGGCTCGATCTGGACTTTCAGCATTTTAGAGAAGGGAGGGAATGCAATTGTGTAAAATAAACCCATTTTTTTACACCAGCACACAGATCATCCCATTCTTTTTCCACTGAGTCCTTTTACATGATTTGATTTTCACACATCACATCTGCTATGGGAGAAAATGATGGAGACTCATGTTAACTAAGACTTGTTTTGGGTTCTAACACATTAGAAACAATGAGATGCTTCTTAAGGAGAGGTGAGTTGGTGACAAGTTAGACACACTGTGATGATAGACCAGTGGGACTCATTTATATGGGTCACCATGCACACTTGGGTGACGTTAGTTTGCAGACATTCACATACACTGTCTCATCTGGTAGTTCCAAGGTGTGATGTTCATTCCACTGAAGAGGAAATGGGTGTCACAGGGATTAGAGAACCTGCCTAAGAGGTACAGCAGGATGAGGATCCCATCTGCCCACCTGCTAGTTCTGTTAGTGCTGGACCACTTCATAAATGGATTTGATTAATGTTTCCAGGGTGTTCAGTGGAACTCTACCTCTTAGGGATTTTCAATGGGATGATAAACCATAGCTTCTCGAAAATGGAATCTTGACATATAATATCTAGCTCAGAGCTGATTCTTACTAAATATTTAATAAACTAAATCTATCATTGAGTTTGAATTAGGCTATCGAATAAGTGTAACAGTCAGGGCTCCTGATTTTCACTCCCAGAATCTACCCATTTGTAGATCATGAAACTTCCTATGTCTCTCCCCCGCTTCTTTCTCATGCTTCCTCCTTTACTTCCTCTCACTGTCCCTCCCTTCCTTCAACAAATATTTATTAAATGACTATGACATGTCAGGCAGTTTGCAATGTGCTAGAAATAATGGGATGAGCAAAAGCAGAGTTCTAGCTGTCATGGAACTTATATTCTTGTGAGAGAGACAGACACTATTTATAAAAGAAAAATGCCAAGAAATATAGGTCATGGACCTTCAATAGTGGGTTAAGATGTAGACTGGGAGGGAGAATCAAGTGTAGGTTTCTTTGAAGAAGCAACACTTGAGGTACTATCTGAGAGATGAGTAGGAGTTATCTTATGAAGCTTGGAGTGATGGGAAGGAACCATTTAAAAAACAATGAACAACATAAATAAAGATTCTATAGCTAACGTGTGGCACATTTGAAAAACTGAAAGACAGCTAGTGTAGTTACAGTTCAGAAGCAAGGGGGAGAAGGAAACACATTGGAACATTGGGTAGTCTATGTAGGGCCCGCAGGCTGTGATAAGATTTTTTTTTTTTAAATAGGAAGTGACTTGATTGAATTTGAATATCAAAAATACACTCCATATATGGGAACTCTCTGTACTTCCGGCACAATTTCTCCATAAACCTAAAACTGCTCTAAAAAAATAAAGTCTCTTAAAAAATATGTGTTAGAACAGAGGGAGAGGCAGAGTAGAGCCTGAGACAAGCTAGGAGAATACCACAGTTCTCCAGAACAAAGAGGACCAGGGACTGAACCCAAGGGAACTCCAGAGGTTAAGGAGCTGAGGAGGAACAATGGTGACTGGAAGCCATGAGCAGTGAAGTAGGAAGGAAACCAACAAAATATGGTAACCTTGAAGCCCAATGAATGTATCAAGAAAGAGGGGGTGATTGATGTGTCAAATGATCTGATTGGGCAATTATTATGAGGACTGAAACAATCATTACATTTAGAAAAAGTAGAGGCCATCGATGACATAAATAAGGAAAAGTCTGGTGGAGTTGGGGAGTGCATAAGTAGATTGAAGCAAAGACAGGAATTGGAGATAGTGTAGTATGGAGTATAGAACAGTTTTGTTGCAAAAAGAAGCAAAACATACAAGCTGATGGATAATGGAAAAGTCTGGTTGAGATGATTTTGAAAAATCAGAATTATAACTTGATTGTTTGCTCATAAAACTTTAGCATGTATGAGATTAATTTACTTTTTAAAAGGAAAATGCCAGTTCCCAGGCTACTGCTTTAAGCCTATGGGAACAATAAATATGGAAGACAAAACTATAAACAAAATGGAAATATGACGGTCAAGAGATTATGGCTCTTGAAAAGTTTAGACTGGATGAAATTCTTAGACACATGAAGGAAAGAATTTAGGAAGGAAAACGGACAGTTCCTCTATTATAATAGAGGGAAAGAGGACCGAATGGCAGATGTAAGTAGTTTTGTATATAGTTGGTCCGTGAACGATACGCAGTTTCACTTAAACATTAACTTTTTTTTTCGATAAATACAGTACTGTAAACTTATTTTCTCTTCTTTCTGATTTTCTTAATAATATTTTCTTTTCTCTAGCTTACTTTATTGTATTCCTATAACATACAAAATATGTGTTAATCAAGTGTTTATGTTATTGGTAAGGCAGGTTTGGTCAACAGTAGGCTATTAACAGTTAAGTTTGGGGGTAGACAAAAGTTATATGTGGATTTTGGACTGCATGGGAGTCAGTGCCCCTGATCCCCATGTTATTCAAAGGGCAACTGTATTTGATATCAGTAAATTGGGGTGATTTCTATAAAGTTAAGTTGGCAATAGGTTATCTGTGGGAGAGAGCAGCTGTTCAAAAATAAACTACAAAATAAATCAACTTTTCAAATGATAATTGATTTGTATCAGTTATAACCATATCAGAATGAATTACTGATCTTTCAAAAAACCCTTTATGACACATCACAGCCCCTAGATTAGAGTCAACTAACCCTAAGCACAGATCTATCCCTATCTCCCCTGTGATTCCTGTAAGCAAGTGACACATCAGAAATAATGAGTCATGCTCTGTCCAGAAGATGGCGGAGGAGTAGGAGACCTAGATTTCGTCTGGTCTCAGGAATTCAGCTGAATAGGGATCAAACCATTCTGAACACCTACGAACTCAACAGGAGATCGAACAGGAGAGTAGCAACAACTCTCTGAACAGAGAAGCGACCACTTACTGGAAGGTAGGGCGTGCGGAGAAGTGAATCCGAGGTGATATT